AGCCAATCTATGCACATACTACAAAAAGAAAAAGTATGTTATTGCGTTCAACTACGAATATATTTCATATCCATTTTAGGTAGTGAGAACACTTTAACAAAATTAAATCTACAAATCACAGTTCATATTTTGGTCACCCAACTCCTATTATTTAATTTTTTTTAAATAAGTGACAATTCTGTTAAACTAATTGTCAATATATATTTTAGTTGTTGATATTAAATATACATTAAAATTTTTGTATAGACTCGATAAATAATAGCATTTTTGTTTTATCCACATTTAAAAAAAAAATTAATTTTAATCAAACTACATGATACTAATTTAATTATGAGTATTAAAACTAAAGTCCTGAAAGTTTCGGTGAAGATGAGGACAGAGCATCTGCCTTCCACGCGAAAAGCCCGGGATCGAATCTAGGCCGAGGACTAATTAATTTTTCATGTTAATTTTATTTTATAAATTAGTCAACTTCGTAAATTATTTTAAAATTAGTTATTTTGTCTAAATAACCTAAAATAATTTTTTAAATTTGTAGATTTTCGTTAGTGGGTCGTAGAAAAAATATACTGACCATATCGAGTGGATTGTTCATATCACAATCAGACGATTGAGTACTCCGCATACGACGTCGTGCTCAAACTTCGTCTTTGTGTGATATTGCTATCACATCCACCCTTGTTGAACAAACTATAATTTATTTGTTTTCTTGGTTTAAACCAAAACTTAAGTTTTACATCAGAAATAGGAACTAAATTAATTTACTTCTCAAGTTTTCTTGTAAAAATCGATATTACTTTCTCCAAGTACAAATTTAGTACCTACCTAAAATAAGTACTAATTATGTAATATCGTGTAATATTGTAATTCAAATTTCACATTACTATAAAGTTTCAAAATTCCCTACTTCGGTATGGTCAGATAAAAATTGAATATATTATATTAATAAAAACTGTCAAAGTATTACTTCTACAAATCTGTATTTCAATTAATAAGAATACATCTAAATATAACCAATATTGTTAAAATAAAAGCACAAATTCTTTATAATTCCAAAATACCATAGAGTTCCCAGACCTCAGTCGAAGCATTCGTTTATCTAGGTATAAACCCTTTGCGCGAAGAGTACCACTTGCCAGAGACACGGGGTACCACTTGATTTGCATTCACGAGCGTGACACAATTCTTTAACAATTGAAGCCCTTGGTGTAAAAAGGATCCAAGCCACAATTTGTCGTGAAGTGACTGTTTTAGCTCAAAACATTTATTAACGAGGATTTTACTAGCCACATACAAATTATTTTACCTCTAATCCGAAAGATGTGCTATTTTCCGTAATATTTATATTTAAATAATGTTTCTAATTATATTTGACAGATTTAAAACAAAATAAAAATTTAATTTCCCAAAACTTACTTAATATTGCTTGTAACCAACCTTATTACGCCAAGGTTTTCAATTTTTTCAATAATAAAAAAATTGTTTAATCCGGGCCCGACTTTTCCCTCGAATCTAACAAAGATAGCACCATTCCGTCTTGCTTGGTTCTCGACCGCCAGATCAAAGACGCCGACACGGAGTTGTGGAGCTGTATTGCATAAGCTGTGACAATACTCTGTGGCAATAAGTACTTAAAAAATAAGAGCAAATGGACTATAAAAATGAGGGAAAATACTTTGTACTTACTGTTCCCATTTTTCTTTTCAGCTCGTTATTGTCTATAGGAAGGGCGGCTCGTGACCAAAATTTTGGGGGTACACAGTAGTAGAATATAGATATCGGTACAGGTGTAGGTAAAAAACTGTCAGTGTTTTAGAAAGGTATATTATAAACTTTCTAAAACACTGAAAGTTTTTTCATACATCTATACTGATATCTATATTCTGTCACTGTAAACCCCCAATATTTTGGTCACAAGCCGCCACTGGTCTATTGTGTGGAAAAAGTGGAGGGTTTAATAAATCAAAAAGTATTAACAGATTAATACTTGTATTACATACTAAGAAGGAATTATTTTGCCAACACGTGGCATCAATGAATAATAAAAGTAAATTAAGAATGGCGCTAATAGTTAGCGATTTACTAGGTCATAAATTATTAGAGAAAAAGAAATAAAAGGGAGACACATTGAATTTATTGTTTAACCCTTGTACTTACAGTGTGAGCTTGTGAACTGCACATACAGGAGATTTTCATAAAAACACGTTCAAAGAGCTTGTACCACCAGCCCCGGATCTAAATTCAAAATATTTTTTTTTTCATAAATAGGGTTTTGAAATCAATTCATAAATAATCAAAATTAATTTGAATTATATCTGTGCAAAACAGGTCAAGTGTTTATTGGGTCTTATTATCTGCTTAATCCATAATCGGATAAGTTTTCAATTGCCCAGAACGTTGAGTGATTTTAAAACGGTATTAGCTTTAAAAATTCCCAATATTATTGATCAAGACATGGAGCGAGTAATTCAAACCGAAAAAGAAAAATGGAGACAGATCCTGCATATGGTTTTTTTTTTTTTTTTTTTTTTTTTTTTTTTTTTTGAGAATTGGCATCTAAACGTAGTTTTTGTTGCCACAGACTTTTGTAAACCGATTAATTTTTTGTTTATTTATTTATATTTTAATATTTTCTTTAATTAAAAATTCAATAATTAAGTTATATATTTTCTCATTAAATGAACTTAATAAAATAGAAATACTTGATGGAAAAAGGATATTCAGGAAAGAAAGTTTTTTAAGAAAATCTGAACGATGAGAATTATGGTGGCTACAAGAAAAAATGAGATGGTTGATATCAGCAAAAGAAGAACTGTCGCATTGACAGAAAGGTGATATATTAATACCAATTCTGGAAAGGTGAGACGGAAAACCTCCATGATTTAGTTTCATCCTTGTTAAAGTGGTACAATAATACCTAGACATTTTAAAATTTGTAATGTGGGGAATAGATTTTGGAAGAACAGGGTGAATAAATATATATGGGTTATTTGAATGAGAAACAAAGTGTTCCCAAAGTTTCTCCCAGCTTGATCTAATATTTCGTTTCATTGTATGAATAATATCCTGCGGAGAATGAATATTACTAATAGTTGGAAGAAGAATGGATTCTTTAGCAGCTAAATCGACTTTTTTATTTCCAACTATCCCTTTATGACTTTTAACCCAGATAAAAACGATCTTGATTTTAGAATTATGAAGAGTAAGGAGAGACTAAATAATTTCTCTTATAATAGGATTTTTGTTAATATTACAGGAATAGTTAGAAATTGAAAATAAAACAGATTTCGAGTCTGAAAGAATAACCGATTTGCTTTCTCCATAGCTTTTTATCCAATTTAGTGCTTGTAAAATTGCAAAAGCCTCCGCTGTATAAACAGATGAATAATTTGGTAAATGAAATTGGGAAATAAAGTTTTCATTTTCCACATAAAAAGCGCATCCTGTACCTTGTTTTCCTTTAGACCCATCGCAAAAAATAGTATTAACTGTATCTAGCGTTCCCAATACCGATTTTATGATTATGTTATTAATTTTAGGGGAAGAAGTAAACTCAGGGAATAAGATTGTTGGCTTGAACAATAAGGAGAAAAAATTAAACTGGTATATAGGAAGAATATCGTAAGACTCAATTTTATTTAAAAACTGGTTTAAAGATACACAGGCTTCAGCCAAAGGTGGACTATTTTTAAATTTCCAATATTTGTTGGTTAAGTTTTCAATATTCAGGGTAAAGGAAGAATTCAGAATTTTTTCCGAAAACATTTTAAATGTAACTAACTTTTTGCATGCTAGAAAATGTCTTCGTAAGTGAAGAGGAGGCTCTTGTGCTTCCGCAAGAACCGCTGGAGTAGGGGAAGATTTAAAAGCACCGAGACATATTTTGACTGCTTTAACTTGCATACAATCTAATAACTTAAGGCTTGAGTTCGCAGCTGATCCATATAATATGCACCCATAGTCGATGATTGATCGGATGTAAGATCTATAAAACATTAACGACGTTGTTGTGTCTGCACCCCATTTAAATTTTGTGACACATTTAAGAATATTAATGCCTCTTTCACATTTGGATAAAGTATAATCAATATGTTTTTTCCATGTAAGCTTATTGTCTAAGACAATTCCTAAGTATTTGAAGGAACTTACTATTGGAAGAGATATTGAATTAAACTTAATGACTTCTCCTGTTATCAGCCTGTGACGGGTATAAACCATCACAGCTGATTTATTTGCAGCCAAAGAGAAACCATGATCAAATAACCAGCCTGTAAGACAATATATGACATATTTAAAATCTACAACACATAGATGCTCTATTATATCTAGCAACAAACTGTCTTTCTTTTCGTGGTTCCCATGAAACCCCTAGCGATATCATCACACAATGTCCTCAGCTTAGTCAAGGAAATTTCTTGAATTTAATTTTGCTTCTCTCCAAACATAATTCAACTCTTAAGTTTTAATTAGAACACTTAAAAAAGCGACAAGTATCATATTTGTCAAAAACAATACAGAATGAAATTATTGTCATAATGGCAAATACAGTCAGAAATAGCATTCTAAACGACATTAAAGAAGCCAAATACTATACAATAATGTTCGATTGCACTACAGATGTGTCGCATACAGAACAAATGAGTCAGGTCATTCGCTATGTAAAAAAACTGGTGATGTGTGTGAAATAAAAGAAAGTTTTATTTACTTATAGAAGTTGCTGGAAAGACAGGAGAGCACATTTGTCAACAGATAATTTAAAAGTTGACAGTTGATGGTTTAGATATCAGACAATGTCGTGGCCAAACTTATGATAACGGATCAAATATGGCTGGCATCTATAACGGAGTGCAAGCCAGGATTACAGAAAGGAATGAGTTGGCCGAGTTCGTACCATGTTTGGCTCAGTCCTTAAATCTTGTCGATGTCCATTCTGCCTCATCATGCCCGGAAGCAATAAATCTATTTCGATTAATTCAAAAAGTATTTTGCTTTTTTGTCAGCTCTACTATTCGATGGTATACTATGAAGAAATTTGTTAAAACCAATTTAAAAGGAAGCAGTCAGACGAGATGGTCGGCAAAACATGTTGCTGTGAAAGCCCTCTTAAATAATTTGCCGGAAGTGGTGGAATCCTTGGAAGAACTTAAGCAAACTTCTCATGCTCCGGAAGCAAAGTACGAGGCAATAAGAAATTTTAAATTCATATTTAACTTGACGATTTGGGCAAATATTCTCAGCGAAATCAATCGAGTGAATATTGAAATTCAAAAGCAAGATATAATCCTTGCGCGTTCCGTCTCTTTAATGGATGACCTGAGAATGAGAGAAAATTCAATTGAACATTGGATAGAAGAGGCTAAAGAAGTTGCTGGAAAAATTGGCGTCGAACCTATTCTGTCAAATAAACGAATTCCGAGGTGCAAAAAACAATTTGTCGAGATGTGACAAACCAGTACAATTTTTTTTTTCAAGCAACAATGATAGTATTTGATAGAATCTTATCAGTTATTAAATAACTCGTATTACTTTGAAAAAGAATTTTGGGCACCACTATATTTAAAACTTACTAAACTTGACTATCGATCAGTGATAAAAATATAGAAAATCACTAACCATTAAGATATTATAATTAAACAAAGTTTTAGATAAGGTAGCAACAAATTCTAATTCACAGAGATTTACTTATTCAAATTTAGATGATTTATTGAAGTAAAAACTTATCTGTTGTAACAGTAGGTAGTATAAAAGGAGGGATGATTTGCACGGTATTCTAGGCCTTCTTTAAAGGGACTCGAATGATATTCTTCGGACAGCACAGGTATTAATCTTCATAAACTCAAATCTCATACTTCTTTAGATGCAGCTTGAACTAAACCTCTTGATAGAAATCACCATAAACAGTTTTATTAAACTTCTTAGATATGACTCGAAAGGAACTTCTTCGATACAGCTTGAACTAAACTTCTAAACCGTCTAGATACAGCCAGGCTGCAAGGAAAAGGTAACATTACGAAAGGAACAAGGAAATTTATATAGGAACCAGATAAAATGCTTTTAACTAATAATTGAACAATTTAAACTATTAAGTGAATAGTTTCACAGAGACTAAAGTTAATATGAAAAGGAAAAATCTTATTTAACATATTTAAATATAGTAAAGCATATTATCTCTTCCAAACAAAACAATAGATAAAATTAGATATGTGTTATTCAAGTATTGAGGTTATGTTTCAAATTTGACATTTTAATTAAGAAATCTTAGTACAAAATATATATTTTCAACAATATATCGGTATTCAAACTTAACTTACAAAATCAGACGGCCTATACGATAGATAAAATCTACTTAGTACATCGGATGACCCAGACAATTAAAAATTTAAATCAACTTATTCGTTGACAATCTAAATGAAAATGAACTTTTGACGCAAGGCATAAACGACAAATGACATTAGAGTAGAGATGTTTGCGTCAAAACAACGAAAACGGTTCCATTCGTTACAATGTTTGGGTCTAAATAACGAAAACGGTTCCAACCGTTACAAAATTAAAAAGAGGGTTGATAGTGCTACCACGTTGAATGAAGAACTGCAAAAGCATGGAGCAGATCTGGGACGAAAAGATGAGCGAGATTTAAACGCGGTTAAATTCTGTTAGGAACTCTACGTTTTTAAAGAGCAAGGTCAACTTTTATTTGAAGATATAAAAAATGCTAGCGCTTTCAATTTCTTGCAACAGATTTATACGCATGATTTGCAGGATGCCTTTTCCAATATTTGTATTGCTCTAAGAATTTACTGTACGCTTCCTACTACATCCGCAAGCTGCGAGCAAAGTTTTAGCAAACTTAAACTTATCAAAAATTATCTACGATCTTCGATGAGCCAGAATGGTTTATCAAGTCTTGCCATAGTAGCAATAGAAAATCAAATTACTCTTTAAATTAATTATGATAAGGCCATAGATTTGTTTGCAGAACAAAATGCTCGAAAAGTAAAATTATAATTTCAATGTGTATAATAATAATTTGAACCTCATGTTTAATTCAGACCCTATCCTGTCCTAACTTAATTAAAATATATGTCCGAGTCCGAAACATCCTGGTATTTTTCGAAAAAATATTGGCTTAACAGAGAAAGAACAGCGGTATACCGGTAGTTGTGAGGTTCTTTGGGGAAGGCCTATGTCTATCAGTGGCGGGTGGGGGCGGCATTCTTTAGTTTTTGCCCCGCCTCAAAAAAATTCAAGATCCGGGGCTGTGTACCACACTATTCATTTAATTTATAAAATGATTCAAAACTAGTAACAATGCATGTGCTATAACACACACGTGCTCGTTATTTTTGGTGAACATTTTAGCACAATAACTAAGTTATGCAGTCGAAACCGGCTTAATTTCCACAGTTTTTACATGATTTATATTATATTCTTTATGAGGACACTTACAAGCCTCTTGGCGTCATATTCGTAATGGTCGCTCCCGCCTGCGGCGATCCTGTTCAACTCTTCCCTGCCGCACGTTTTGTATTGAAGAAATGCCAGTGGTTATTTCCGGGCGGCAAATTCAAAATCGATATTTGGCGCCAATTTTTGAATTATGTAAAATTAATTAATTTTTTCTTGTTTAGAAATGGTTGATTTTTGAACATACTGTATTAAAAATAAACAAGGATCAAAACATTAACAAGCTTTCAATACACAATATCATTAATTACAAAACTCAACTTTATTAAACTTATTTTTCCATTTTGCACAAAGCTCGCTTGCAGTTCGTTACTCTTATACTCTTATGACTACTCGTGATTTATAACTAACTCGAAGACAATTAAAAATTAATAAATTGCTAAGCAGCCGGTATCATTAATCATCTTGCAACAAGACACCGCTAACCAACAGTGATTTCTTCAGCAATAATGAAATTAAACAAAGCTCTGTTGTTTGTTTTTGCAAGCAGACAGTTTATCGTTAATTTATTGGAAACGTTCAAGGGTAGTTTTAATGAAGACATCGTTGGAAAAATAAAAAACTGCAGAAATAATTGTACAACGATTCGTGACTGAAATTTATATGTAGTATAAGTAGTGTGATTTTTTTAATAATTAAGTTGCATATATCAGGTTGACAACGTACTTTATTCCACAGCGGAATTATGAAAAATAATAACTGGCTGTAAAGTTTATAAAATAACTTCAAGGTGACGAAATAATAAACATAGATTATAAATAAGAGCCAACAAAACAAAGTATTTGATGAACATAACGGCTAAAAGTGAATAAAAGAATTATAATCTATATCAAAGATACAATTTTAGAAAGGATGACAAAATTTTTGGCCAAAAACCTTATGTTCGGTATGAACCAATGGAACGTGCCCTAAGCGCCAATTCTTTATGTCATCACAATTGTCTATGTCATGTCAAGCATCCATTTTTAGGTTCTGAATGTCATCCGTTTTTCATGTTCATGTTAATGAAAGTTACTCAGTTACTCATTGGTACTTGTTAAATATAAGTTATACCCAATTTAAGAACCATTATTTTATTAAATCTAAAAGAACACCTTGATATTTCTTCTAAAAAATGTTCAAAGGGGGAAACATTTCGATGTCGTCTTATAGAATTCGACGCGTATATTCCAAAATTGTATATACTTATGGGCCTATCTCTAACGGTATCCAAACTACATCAAAATGTTTGAATATCACTAATGTACCACAGACATTTTCAAAAATTTGGTTTAGTTTGGATACCAGAATTTCTTGTATTTCTTTTTCTGCTTATTTTGCTGATGCTTCTTCTTCTTTAATTTAATTTAGTCTACAATTTTGTATTTGATTTTGTTCATAAATAAAACTGCATTCTCGTGCATACGAATAATCTCATTAATTTTTCCACTTAACTTAAAATTTTGTTTAATATATTATTTGACAGTTTAAGTACTCTACATATTTAATTTTATTTAACAGAACTTTAATACTAGTTATTTAGTGCAACTTATGTGCAACTAAACTTCCATTTCAGAGACATTACAATGTTTGTTGACACAATGGTGTCTCAATCAAAAGTCTTCTACTTCTTCTTTTCTCCTTCTTTTCTTCTTCTTTTTTTTATTTTTCTCTTCTTTTTTCTTCTTTTATCTTCTACTTTTTATTATTTTTTTCTTCATTCTTATGTCATTACGTCGAAATATATTTAAAATTTTCTGTTTTAAATAAAACAGAACATTTAAGTCTTGGTCACAAATTTATTTAAAAAAAAGATTTTGACTGTTTCGATTACGAAGGGTCATCATGAGGCCTAAAAACACAAAAGAAACTATTAAAAAGAAACTACAAAATAATTAACAGGAGGAAAAATACAAACAAGGATAAACATTATTATTATTATTTTGAATAAACAACTTATTTGTGAAGGCAACGAGTTTACAAGTGTACAAAGGTGGAACCATGGGGCAAACTACTATAGTATTAAGAGAAGTGAAGAAAGAAGGAATGGCGAAAAAAGAATTTAAAAGAAAAAATAAATTGCGGTGATAACGATTGGAGGATGTATCAGAGTTCACTAACTCGTAGAAAGACTTTCCTTAATCCGTACTGACGATAAAAAGTATTGTGAACGAAAATTAAAATAGCTGTGTGTCAATGTAATTCAGTTGCATTGAAGATCAAAACAGTGATAGTTCAGAATACTAAATGATCTGGCAACCCACAATAAGGTAAAACTAGCGTGGGTACTAAGTCACAAAGGTATCCAAGGAAATAAATTACTAGGCTGATGAACTTGCCTAAGAGGGATCAGAACTACCATTCACAGGAGCCGAACCTGTATTTGGGATAAGCAAAACCTCTGCTCCACAGGCAGTGTACTGGTGGATAACTACAAAACACCAAATTCACTAGCAATAGATAAGAGGATACAGAATCAGTAAGCTCATGTTGAGGGGACCAAACCCATGCATGACTACTGAGGCACTATAAGTCGCAAACTCTCAGATATCCACCATTGTGGGATTACTAATGGGACACTGCTTGCTGAAACACCTTCATGTGATGGGATTACACAATAATCCCACTGCGTGTAGACTTTTACTAGACGGAGTCTCATTCTTTTCTGCCTAGAACCGGAACACTTTGTAGGGAACTTAATAAAACTAACCAAAGACACAGGACCTCGCACAAGACTAATTCAAACATAGTACCTGAATACAGGGAAAGTAGGGGGATATAATAGACTCAAGAGGCCGCAGTGTTCTGGTCCAAACCTAACCCTACGTGCTTATAACAGATAAAGATAAACATATTTTAACAACCTATTACTCGAGACTATAAAAATATATTGTAAAGTTTTCGCTAAACTTTTTATATTTGCTTCATGTTTTTGTTGACATAGTTGCCAAATGTATAGTTTTTCCCGAAACTGCCGAAACAAAAAGAGCACTTCTTTAAGC